GCTAATGAGCCCTACCTGGTTCACCTCCTTCCAAAACCAACTCACACACTTGCCAATAGATGAAACTACCCTCCCGGTCTGCCCAACACCCAGGCCTTAACCATGTGCTCACCAGTGAGAGCTATGACCCACCAGGGGAGTTGCTCAGGTTCCCCTGTTTGGGCCACTCATCTCATGCAGATCTCATGCATGTCAATGGATGCTTGATGTTTACCTGACATGGCCTGCTGCATCCATCCCGGCCTTTGTATGAGTTGATTCAGCCCGGCCTGCTCCTGTTTTAGGGTGCTGATGCCAGTGCTGTAATTGGATCTGCCACACTTGTTTCCAGCCCCAGCACAAGTGAGCATCAGTGAGCTACATGGTCTCACCTAACTCAGCCCATCACCATCCCAACTCTCAAGCTTGTAGTTCCATAGGGTTGGGCCCATTTGTCCTCCACAGAATCTATCCCCGGACCTGGTTCTCTTGGATGCTATTTGGTGTCATGGCCCAGTCTTATGTGACCCATTCCCTGATCCGACACTCACTGTAAGGTACTGGGATCTAGCTCTGCCAGACAAGCTCCCAGCCTTAGCTTGTGTGTGCACTGGCGTGTGGTGGTCAGCCATGTTCCATGCTAACAAGTACAACCCAGGACTACCACGTGGGTTGGTGTATCAGCCTGACCCATACAGATCTTTAGGTCTCTCCCCTCCAAACCACCAGGTCTCAGTCCCCTTGCTTATCTACAAATACAGTGGCCCTGTCATTGGTGTCCTTCAGGAGTCATTCCTCACCTGGGCCCTGTCCCAGACCACATATCTTGTGATTTTTCTCAGTGGTCTGTGTTTGAGTCCAGTCATCTAACTAGGGAGTCCCCCCAGAAACCTTGGCCATGGTGACCTGAGACTTGATTCCTGTGTATGCCAGCTAGTGCAAGGTCATGTTCAGTCTGTCACCTGAAACACCAATGCACATACTGGTGGATGCAGCTGCCTGGTCAGTTCCTCCTCCAGCCCCATCTCTCACACAAACTGATGGGTGCTGTAGCCTAGCCCAGCCCCACCCCACGCCCTGTCTTCATGCACACCATTGGGTGCTGTGGCCTAGCTGGGGCAACTCCCAATAATCCCTTCCAGGCCTGCCCCCAAACCGTTTTCAAGTGTACCAGCATGTGCTACAGCCAAGCCTGGTCTGTCTTACATCCCATCTGGCTCTCATGAACACTCATGAGAGCTGTGGCTTAGCTTAGCCTGCCCATCCCACACATATATGCCCCACCCAGGCTCACATGTATGCCAATGGGCATTATCCTTACTTGACATAGTAATCAAGATGGTGCTGAGAAAGTAATGTTAGATTCCACAAGAGCTGGTCTTCTTGTTTCTAACTGGCTCATTCACTTAATGGCCATAGGGAAAGAGGTACCTTCTACTCTAGAGAGGCACAGCCCATCTCACCATCCCAATGTACTCTTCTCTCCCCTTCCACCCACTGCCCAGCTGTTCCTCCTGCTTTTTTGTAAGGCATGTGATAGCTCAGTGGGCCAGGGCTAGCCTTGCGTCCCTCTCTGGTGATCTCTGTCTCGTGGCCAGGAGCCAGACTCTGGGTTTGCCCTCCTCATTAGCTATGCAGGGGAAAAGCCAACAGAGAAATTTGACTTCAGCATTCTTCTAAGGATCAGTGGTTCTGACTGCTCAGCAAAATTACCTGGAAGAGAGTTTTAATAACACGGCTTCCTGGAACTTCTCCGAAACGCTAGGATTCAGGCAGTCTGGGGCAAAGCTCATTTGGCTGTGTTTTCAGGAGACTTTCCAGATGACTCTGGTGCATGAGCAAGTGTGGGAATCCCCGGAAAAACTCTAAGGTCTTTGAGATTAGAAAACATGCTGGGATATCTTGGGAAAAAAAAATCACTGGAAAACAGAATTAAAACATCAGTTAGGCAGCAGCCATTTGGCATGATAGTTAAGACCCCACTTGGGGCACCTGCATTTTGCATTGGAGTGCCTGGGTTCTGGCCATGACTGTGCTCTTGAGTGTAGCTTTCCTGGGAGGCAGTAGGTGCTGGATCAAGTAGTTAGGTCTCTGGTTTATATGTGAGAAACAGATTAACAGCCATTTGGGGCTCCTTAAAGTCGCAGTGAAAGGCAAAGTCCATAGAGAAGGAGAGACAGAGAGCTTTTCCATTGGCTATTTCACTCTCCAAATGGCCACAATGGCTACAGTTGGCCGGATCTGAGACCATGAACCTGGAGCTCCTTTCAGGTCTCCTGCATGGATGGGTACAGGGGCCCAAGCACCCGGGGTTTTCTCTACTGCTTTCACAGGCCACCATCAGGGAGCTGGATTGGTTGTAGAGCAGCTAGGACTTGAACCAGTGCCCATATGGAATGCTGGAGCCACAGATGGAGGCTTAACCCATTACACTGCAATGCCAGGCCCTGTTTTGGGCTCTTTATTTCAGCCTAGCTCAGCCCCCAAGTAAATTATCTTTCATTTCTACATCCCATGAACTTTTTGAAATATCCATGCATAAATCTTTCCTCTTTGTTGTCTTCCACTGTCATAGCACCTGGCATCACAAATAATTGCTTGCTGAATATTTGTCGAGTCAATGAGCAAATGAATGATTGAAAACAGGGTGCTAGATTACAAGTACAGGTCACCAGTCTCTTATTTAAAGGCTAGGGCCGATGGGTTGTAGACAGCAAAGACTGTGAGGTCGGGTGGGGGCAGTAAACAGAAAACAGGGTCATTGGAGCCCCACTTAGGAGAACACAGCTCTTGTGCTTGAAAATGCTTCTCCTTGGGCCCGCCGCCGTGGCGCAAGTGGTTAAGGTCCTCACCTTGCACGCCCCGGATCCCATATGGGCGCCGGTTCTAATCCCGGCAGCCCCGCTTCCCTTCCAGCTCCCTGCCTGTGGCCCGGGAAAGCAGTTGAGGACGGCCCAAAGCTTTGGGACCCTGCACCCGCGTGGGAGACCCGGAAGAGGCTCCTGGCTTCGACCGTTGCGCTCACTTGGGGAATGAATCATCGGATGGAAGATCTTCCTCTCTGTCTCTCCTCCTCTCTGTATATCTGCCTTTCCAATAAAAAATAATAATAATAAAAATAAAATCTTAAAAAAAAAAAAAAAGAAAATGCTTCTCCTTTAGTGAGCTTGTTGCCTTTCTGTTGGGACTTCCCTCTGCAAAAGCCAATCTGACGTGGGCACTTCCCCTGCTTGGCCTCGCCAAGGGATAAAGTCTATCTCCCGTCCTCTGACGCACAAGTTCCTGTCTGCGCCTCCCGGGCTCAGCACGGCTCTCCGTCCCCATCTCTGGCATTCTCGTCTTCTTCCACATCTGCCCAGGTCTGCCATGTTCCTCTGCCTGTGGTGCTCACCTCCTCTCCTGGCCCACTGCCTCCTCGCATTTCACCTGGCTCCTGGTTTCAGAAAATTGCAGCTTAAAAACATTACATTTTCTAACATTTATTTTATTTGAAAGGTAGTGTGGGGGGGCCTGGGGGGTGTGGGTGTGTGTATTGGGAGGGCAGGAAGAGATAGAGAGAAAGAGAGAGAGGTGTTGTGTCTACTGGTACACTCCTCAAATGGCCACGATGGTCAGGAGCTTGGCCAGCTGGAGCCAGGAACCAGGAATTCCATCCTGGTCTTCCTTACAGATGCAGAGGCCTAAGCTCTTGAACCATCTTCCACTGCTTTCAAGCACTTTAGCCGGGAGCTGGACGGGAAATGGAACAGCCAGAATTTAACCTGCACTAGGCAGAAAAGCTGTCTGAAACATCACCTCCTATTTCCCCAGGAGACCCTCAAATCCCTAGTGGTCAAGACCACTCTGTTGTGACCACAGGCTAGCCAGTGGGTGTCCCAATATTTGTGAAATGAAGAGAAGTTGGGACAGAAAACAAACAAGCCACTGGGGACTGGGGCTTTTTGGCATAGGGATATAAACAAAGCCATGGCTTTGTGTTTATAGAAGAATTAGAGCCAGAGCTGAGTTTATGAAGGAGAAAAGTAGAACTTGGAGATTTAGGGGGAGGCGGGGAAAGGCCATGGGAAGGCCAGTTTCAATGCCCAACCAATCTATGAATGGGGTCAGATACCCAAGGTGGAAAATCAGCCCCAGGGTCACGCTGGGTCAAGGCACAGTGCCAAGCTAGCTGCTGAATGGGGAAAGCCTCAAAGCTGGCACACAAGGCAGCTGAGGCCCCTGCCTGTTCTGGGGCCTATAGCCATAGGAGTTGCCACTAAGGCATGTGTGGGCAGAGAGCACCTGACAAGTGCACCCGGTCAGGTGTTCTGCACTGGGTCTGGCGGGCACCTCCAGGCTGGTACTGGAGGCAGCTGATTTTCCTGTTTGATGAGCTGATGCCTTAATTTGGTCTGACAAGTGGAGGCTGTTGTGAGAAGCAGGCCTGGACTTTTGACATTCAGCAAGCTAGAAATAACCAACTGGGTTTCTGGCGCTGGGACCGCAAATGTCTTGCCCTTCGCCCAAGATTGCCAGGCTAAAGGGGTGTTGACTCCTGTACAGACCTGTAGTCTGTGTTTCAGGAGGTTGTAGTCTAGGCCCAGATCTTACCTCCATGATTTGCAGGATGGAGGGCCTAGCCACTGGGGTCGCTGCAGAATGCAGTTGTTGAGAGCTATGCCCCTTCAGCCTTGCGTTGAAAATAATTCCAAGTGGCTGCCCTGTCTGTGCTCATCCCACTGCCTGGGTTTGATGCCTACTGCTTCTACGAGTCCTGTGCTTCCCACACCTACTGTGGCAGGGCCCTGGACATGATCCTGATCGCAAATGTTGCTGATGAACCTCGTGTGGCTGACCCACCGAAGGAGATTCTATAGAAACCTGCAGGCTCTGGCCCTAGAAAACTCAGCCCATTGGCAAACATGGCTTACAGCTGTTGGGAGTTAGCTTGGTGGCACCAGCCTCTGGTTGAACATCTGCCATCTGCTGCTCCTCTGTGGGTGAGGAGAATGGCAGCAAACCAGCCTCTGGAGCTGCCCTACCTTGCAGTCTTGATGCGCTGAGTTCCACCTTTCCCCTCCTCGCTCCCTCCGTGGAATGTCCTGTGGCAGTTACAGCAGTGTGGTCAGCACTGTCATCGGCTTCAGCAGCACCCTCTGCAGCCACCTGGCCCTGGCAAAAGAGCCAAGAGCTGGAGCCAAACTTTCGCCAAGTGGCTCAGCTTGTCCAGGGTGTCTCCTTGCAGGTGGGCTTCTGGAACAATGGGGAGCTCTGGGGAGGGGCTTTCTTCAATGTACCTGCGAGAAATAAGTCTAACAATGGCTGATTCAAGAGGCCCTGGTAGTTGGCCCTGGCTCCTGCCACATTGTTTTGAAACAATGAGTGAACCCAGCTGGGGATGGGAAAGCAGGAAGTAGAAATCTAACCCTCTGCTTTTCCGATTGCGACTGGGACCAAAGACAGAAACCTTCGCAGGAGCCTGAGAGCGAGGCGGGCTCTGAGCCGGGCCTCTGGCTCTGAGAGGATCTGAGTGTGTATTAACATTTGAGAGGACTAGGGCCCAAACTGCTCATGCTGGCCACGATGAGAGAGACACAGCAGGTGGATCTTCTAAGCTCTGCTCACAGGAGACTGGCCATGCTCCTGCTGCTCTCCCCACCCCTGCATCCTGACATACATCAGCACTCAACCACAGACAACAGGCACCTGCTTGCAGAGTCACCCCCGCTGGGCTACTTTTCTGATTCTGTTCTCTGGGAAGATGGAGCTCTTCTAGGGACCCAGATTTGAATAGAATGCACTTTGGTTTTTTAACTCCAGCTGCATTTCTGACCTCAGTGCTGCTGGCACCAGGGCCAAGGGCTCACTGTCAAATGGCTTAGGGGTCAGAGGATGAAGGACATTCCCTGGAGCTGCCTGGCACCAGTTTCACTTGGTTTTGAAAATGAAGGTGCAGAAATGATGGAAGGTGAGGAGAGCACAGATTAGTAACTTGCAGAGTGGGACAGAGGGGAAAGAGGAGGAGTGTAGAAAATGTGTGTGTGTGAAAGAGAGAGAGAGAGAGAGAGAGAGAGAGTAGTTGGGGGGTACAGATAAGCAGCAGCCACACCTGCTGGGGCAGGGACTGGTCTCCCAGGACATCCCTCTGCATACCTGGGTTCTTGCTGTTGAAGGAAAGGCATGCTTGGTCAGTGTATAGAACACGTCATTGTGGGCATCTTCTTGCTGTCCTGGCTTTTGAAGACTCAAGTAGCTCCAAGGTGTGAGCCGCTCCGTGTGCACCTTAGAGCGACACCCTGGGCTTCACTATGCTGCTTTTGCTCAGTGCTGCAGACTCCCTGGGGAAGTGCTGACCTGCAAAGACACACTGTGTTATAGCTGAGAGTGTCTTAGCTTCCCTTCCAGTCTCTCATATCTTGGGAAATAATTGCTGCTCTGTCATGAATGAGGCCATTTTTTTAATAGTTCACAGAGGAAAAACAATGCAGCTAAAAGTTTACTTTGTTGCCAAGAAAATTAAAATCTATGCATATGCTTCTGTGATATGCATTTTCCATGCATTTTTTTGAAGATGATACATGGAGTTCAAACATTTTTTTGCATCAAAACAGGCTTGTCTTTGCATTTCATTTTCCATGACTCTTTGGAAATATGCTCATGTGCCTTTTCATTTTTGCGTTTTTTCCTAGGTGAGCTGTGGCTAAGTGGACACAATCGCGGAAAATTCAGTAGGCTTCGGTTTCCATGGAGATGGATTCAGCTAACAGGGAAGACAAGGGTAAGCAAAACTGCATGTACAACATGTGAGACTCCAGGCAGGGAGGAGCCGAGCAATAATTACCTGGGATTCAGGGTTAGTGAGACAATCAGAGGGGCACTGTGTACTGTGTATCTTCATCACCTGAACGCTGGGCAGTTCAAATCTCTACTTCTCAAATACAGCTATAGTTCCAAGCAACCTACTTACCGTGGACCCAGTTACTCCCAATTCTGATCTCTTGGCTTCAAATCCTTCATTTTCTTTTTTCTGTAACCTCAAACTTGTCTAAGAAGACCTCCCAATAGATACAAACTCAAAGGGCTTTATTCTTTACACAGACTCTACTCAGCACGTATAGACTTGTTACACGCTATGCAAGCCCAGGATTAGCCTCTATTTGCTTTACTCTTGTTGGCCTGTGCAAGTTGACCGTTAGCGTTTCTTGCTCTGCACTCACAGACCGGAGCCAGTGCGGGAGACCTGGACGGCAGCCTCTCAGTGTCAGGCGCGTGGCTCATGCATCAGAAACACAGAACCTCTTCTGCAGACTGAGACAGGGTTGGGACTGTTCACTGGGGCATTCCTAGCTCTGTATGAAGGCTTTGTTTTTCAAAGCAGGGGATTTCAATCTCCAGCATCAAGGAGACAACACGCCACTGTCAGCATATTTCTTAAGCATCTGTTTGTGTTGGATCCCATGATGAAGCAGAGTCCTTAAACACAGTCTTCCCTGCTTTTCCTGGTGCAATTCCCAGGGATGCAACAGGTGGCAGGCTGTATTCAACCATGATCTGTACTTATTTTTTATTTAGTTCTTAAGATCTATTCATTTGTTTGAAAGGTAAAGGAACATAGAGAGGAGAAAAGGGACTCTCTCTCTCTCTCTCTCTCTCTCTCTTTCTCTCTCTCTCTCTCACACACACACACTTACAGCAATTCCATCTATTTTTTAAATGACCACAACAGCCAGATGCAGGCCAAACCAAGCCTGAAGCCAGGAACTCCATCCAGGCTTCCCACACAGGTAGCACAGGCCCAGACACTTGAGCCAGCATCTGCCGTTTTCCAACTGCATTGTAAAGAAGGTGAATTGGAAGAGAGAGAGGCAAAAGGACTTGAACTAGCACTCTAATTTTAGATACTGGTGTCACAGGAGGTGATAAATGGTTGTGCCACAACACCGGTCCCCATAATGTTTACTTCCCAGATGGCTGCAATGACCAGGACTGGGCTAAGCTGAAACCAGGAGCCAGGAGCTTCATCCAAATCTCCTGTGTGGATGGTAGTGCCCCAAACACTTGGACTATCTTCTGCTGGATGACCCTGGCTTTTAGCAGGGAGCTGAGAAGCCAGGACTTGGATCAGCACCCGTGTAGGATGCTCATGCTACTGCAGGAGCCTTATCTGCACTGCCACAATATGATACAGCCCTTCTTCACGGCCATGATCTATTATCCATCAATCATTATGATCATCATCATCATCATCATCATCAGGAAAGTTTGGGAGCTCGTCTCTGCTCAAATTTCCGTATTATTCTGAACCACAACCGAGAAAAAAAGAATAAACTTCTCTGATTTAAGGACCAAAAGCAGTTTGGTTTCTTGGCCGGCCAGGGACACTAAATGGTAAGTCTTACACTTGTAAATCAGAGCAACACTGTGGCCTTCTGGAGGCAGGCTACTACTTCAGCTGCACCTGACCTTCATCTACATGGGGTGGCTGAGAATATTCATCCCTTCATAGTAATCTGTGCCTGTTGTGTGCCATGCCCCGTGGCAGGCATTAGAGACAGTGGCAAGAAGAGGAAACAATACTTCTAACCTAATGGGAGAGACTGGAGTTAATCCAACAAGTAAGCACACGATTATCAGCTCTGATAAAGAGCTCCAAGCGAAAAGAATAAGACACTCCAGGGAATATTACTTATCTGGACTCTTGGGGGTGGGCAGGGATTGGAGTCTAGGGGAGTCAGGGGGTGCTTCTCAGAGGAAATGACATTTGAACCTAACTTTGAAAGAGAAATAGGGAGTTGCTTGCAAATGTTCACACAGAAAGTACAATCAAAGATAAGTTTGTTTTGGTGCCAAAGATTTTTGAAATCTACACGTAGTGTAGTCCTTTCATGCTACACAGTTTCTACCGGTTTTTGGAAGATTTCACTTCTGCACGGATTTCTTTTCTGGCTCTAAAATAAACTTACCTTTTGATTTCATTTTCCATGAGCTTTTGGAAGTGCTCCTCTGGAAACTGAAATGCAAAGGAGGGTGTGGCCACTGTGCTGGAGAGAGAAAGAGCTGGGTCATGGCAGGGGTGTAGATAAGGCGGGAGGCAAGCAAGGTCCAGGAGTGGGCAGGGGCTGACTCACTGCGGGACAGTAAACAAAGCTGAGGGCTTTGCTTTTATTTTAGAACAATGGGAAGCCATTGCAAGGAGGGGGAGCAGACCTGAACTCCGCTTCCACAAGCTTGCTCTGTGAGACAGTGGGGAGCGAAACCTCTCCTTCCTTAGGCCCTGGAAACTGAGCTGCTTGAGTCCAGGAGTTTGTTCCACTCCCAAAGAAGTAATCCTTCAAATTATAACTCTATTGTGCCCAAGCTCGGGCAAGATCCCTGCTGCAGATCACCCTGATCTTGGCTTTAACCATTTTCTGTCCAAAGTCGATGGGTCAGGCAGTTGCTACAGGCAGGATGGCTTCTGTTCCAGGAATTCTGGCCCGATGCGCTCCTGGGGATGTTGTCAGGAGGCTTCTAAGATGGGTCAACTAGGAAAACAAAGGGAAAAAAGTGTTGCTTGGTCTCCCAAGTACTTGAACTTGATCTTTGATATTTATGATCTAAGATTCTGAAGTTCCAAGGACCCCCTCCTGGGGTGGTCAGAAACTCTGAGCTATTTCTGATGTGGAAATACTTTTTAACCAACCTTGGTTACTTCTGAACCATGAAATAACCTTCATAGGGAGGCTGGTTTCCACCTGTACCGCTAGCCAGTTCCTGAAGCTCCCGGTACTGGCAGGGGAACACCTCCACCCCTGGGTTGCCTTAATCCTCCATAGGCCTTGTTCCAGCTTCCCCCACCCAAAGAAATGGCGTGCTCCTTTGATTTACAGGGTGCACTGAAGGCAGGTGCACTCCCAGAGCCCCAGTTACTCATCTTTCTGCATACCAAAGGAATTCTAGGAGTACCCAGACAAGCTGCTGGAAAAAAACCCCAAAAACCAAAAAAACAAAAGCCATGTTGTTTGAGGACCTAGGGGCCTCAGGTCCTACTGATGCAACTGAACAGAAATGCAGCAAAGGTGGCATGCTACTTGTGCCAGATGAGGTGGCTGCACTTGGGAAGTCTGGTAGCTGCCCGGTAAGCAGAGCAGCCTGAGGAGATCGGCTCCAGTGCCCGGCTTTGTCCTTCCACACACAGCTCCCTCCCTTCAACCCACTTCTCGGCCCTTAAGCTGATCTGTCCTGACAGCTGCCAAATTGGTCCTCTCCTTCCTGGGGCTCGCGTTGGCACTCCCACGAATCTTTCCTTTCACTGTGCAGCCCGACTTCAAGGCTGAAATAAG